GGGGGGGGGGGGGGGGGGGGGGGGGGGGGGGGGGGGGGGGGGGGGGGGGGGGGGGGGGGGGGGGGGGGGGGGAGCGCACTCATGACCATTCACGCACTAGACATCGTTTCGAGCGCGGACCTCCCGTTCCTTAATGGATACAGCAGTACTGCCAATATCCGGGGAGTGAGGGACGCGGCATGTCCCGTCCCATGGGCTTTCGCGGACCAGCGTGCGTGTATCACTGCTGCAGCGCCAGGCGCGGCGGCGAGGTGGCGTGCGCCCTACTACGCAAGACCCGTTCCGCAAGACGCCTAGGGAGGCGGGGCGGAGCGGAACTGAAGCTTGCTATCTCCGTTGTCTACTACAGCAAGCAATGCATTTCCCTTTTCTCTCTGCCACCTTCTTAGCCTCGTCGACGAGCCTCTCGTTCTCCTTCTGGTACGCGCTCAGCAGCCGCTCCTGCTCCGCGATCTCCCTCTCCATCCCCTGCGCCTCCGCCCTGAGCTCCTCCAACGCCACCGCCGCCGCCGCCGCCGCCGCCGCCGTCGCCTCAGCTTCGCCCCCCCCTTCCCCCCCTCCGCCGCCGCCGGTGTGCGGACCCCCGTCCTTTCCGCCCACAGCACCACCACCACTGCTGGTTTCCTTTCGAGAGCCAGCAGCAGCAGCAGCAGCAGCAGCAGCAGCAGCAGCGCCGCCGGCGCCGCGTCCGCCTGCCGAGTCGCGAGTTTGGTCGTTAATCCCGTTGCCTACGCGGAAGCCAAAGCCGGCCGTCGCGGTTGGCGTCGCTCTTGAGCCGGGGGTCACCGCCCTCCTCTCCTGGAGCTTGACCTTCGCAAAAGCATGTCGTCATGGATTGGTCGGTACAGCAGAATGGATCGACTTGTGACGTGACGAGAGTGTACAGTAGCGTGTTTTGGGGTTGATCCAGTACAGCATTGCGTGGATGATGGGATTCGGCCGTTCATAGATCGGGCGGTGGGTGTGTTCCGGACTTGGGTTGATTCGGTACAGCAAAATTGTGCGGTTGTTTGCGTTCGGCCGTTGATCGATCGGGAAAACGGTGGTGCCCAAGGGAAAAAGTCTTCGTGCACGTCCGTTTTGCGAGGCTGCGTAGCTGTATTTTCCGAGCGCTGTCGTCCACGCCCCCGCCCCCCGCCGGCTGTTCATCGCGGCCGCCCACTAAAAGAAGGGAATAACACTTTCTATCACCATCGTCGTTCTCACGACGTCCAACAGCAGCAGCAGTGGCAGCAGCACCACAAGTAGCACCAACGTCGTTAACACCCTTACTCACTCACCTGCAAGGCGTATATCTCGGCCTTAGCCTTCTCGAGCTCTCTTTCCGACTTCTCCCGGACCCGCGCCGCCTCTCGCTGAGTTTGGCTGGCGGCCTCTTCGGCCTCCGCGGCGCTCCGCTCGCGACGGTCGACCTCGCGCTCCCGCCTCTGTTGTTGTTGTTATTGTTGTTGTTGTTGTTGTTGATGATGTTGTTGTGATGTCGTCGTTGGTGAAAAGGAAACATAGTTCATACAGAGGGACTACGTTCGAGATGGGAAATACCCCCTGATCGGAGGCATGCGTTGAACCACCTCGTTACAGACTGGGTGCCGAGGAAAACCCTGCGGGATGTACTGCGAATATCTCGGGGGATATAGATCACGTGTCTTCTGCTATTTAGCAACAAATACATACGAGTGAAGTCCCCCGTCTCACTTAGAAGCCTACAGCCTGCCGACAGGCAGGACCCCCCCCCCCCCCCCCCCCCCCCCCCCCCCCCCCCCCCCCCCCCCCCCC